TGGGCCCCTCGGAACCTAAAGGGAGGCAAGTGTCCCCTGTACCCCCCCCCCCCCCCCCCCTCTGCCTGTGCTACTGCTGGGTAGTATCACTGTAGGATCAGCAAGCTATAATAAGCAAATCCATTCCGCACTTATTTCCGAGATCAAATTACAGTCAAGGCTTCGTCACAACACTATACCTTTTCTTTCTTTTTAGCCCCGGGTTTCATTTTCAGAGTGAGCGGTCTTGCCGCATAGACGACATTTCAGTGATATATTCATAGCAGGCTCGGCGACAGCGCGGGGGGGTTTCACGTCGATATCGTTACACATTGGTTTGCAAATTGACGTGATTAAGAGAAAAGACCGCCTACAATCACTAACAGTGAAGACCTAAGTACACCTGTAGCGTAGACAGAATCGCTCAGCCATTAACGGGTACAAATTAGACGTGACACCTTTACTCCCGAAAGTCCGCAAAGCGCGGGTAAAAGAGCTCAACAATGGTAGCTCTAGTCCGCAAAAATGACGACAGAATCAGCTGCGAGCTGTCTTTTCCCACGTGCTTCGCGAGCCTCCGGGATTGAAACTGGTAACTTCATTTGACCACCATGAAGATGAACGCTTGTAATGGGCACGCTGGGGGGCCTACGCCATTCAGCGAGAACTACATTAGTAGAATTTTGGACCAGGATGTCACTAGACCACATGTGTCACTGTTATATACCTGCTTTGTAAATAAAGTCAGTCTGCTTTGTAAACACAGTGTTTCGTGCTCTCATGCTATTTAGCGCACACATTTTGGCCCACTAGTGTACGACAAACATCACACAAAACACGCACTCGAAGAAAAATGTTAGGTGTTAGTGGTGAGCAGGAAACAAAATGGAATTTCTAACGTCGGAACAGTATTTCAACTTAACATTTTAAGCTACTCGAAGACATTAAAAAATGACTCATAGCCCAACAAAACCGCGTCGGTTTTTTCGGTCTAGCCCAAATAAGTAAAAAGTGCAAAAAGTGGCAAGCTTCCTTTAATGTCTGTCTTTATAAAGAGGTATTGCCAAAAGGTGCAATGCCAGACGCCAGGGGGTATGATTCCTCTGGGTGGTCTCCCCAGCAGAGCCAAGGATCTTGTTTCAGCAGAGCGGCTCGTGTATCCCCGATCTGAATACAGAAACCCAGGAGGACGAGTTTCACACCCCCCCCCCCCCCCCCCCCCAGGTGATCCGTTGACCCCAGAGGCATCACGTCCTACTAATGTTACGCAAATGTTTGCTCGAATTTTCTTGCCATTTTTGGACACCACTGGGCGCTGTTTTTGGTTGCCCAAAAATGGTGCACCAAATGGGCACCATTTTTTACGCGCTGATTTTCCTTTATTCAGTCCCCCATGCTAACCAACGCAACGCTACGCGGACGTCTCCCATGAGAGTGTGCTGCGCGACCGTGCTTTCGCACTGGCCACCACTGTTACACAGACACTTTCTTCCCGTGCTTCGGTTGCACACTTACTTCCCGGAAAGCGTCACTTTACTTCACGTCGCTAGCCTCCCTCAAACCCTTGCCATTTCTCTCTCTTTCTCCTGGAGTGAATACATCGTCCTCATAGCTAGAGCAGGCCCCGAGCCGCTGCATTGAGCCACGGTCACGCGAGCAATTCGTTACCGTCACGGTAAGCGCTCGCGAGACTTTCAAAGGCATGCTTACATAAAAGTAACACGCCCCGCCACCGACTGTTGATAATTACTAATGCATAACTTCATGCAATGTAGTCGTACTTGGTGATGTACATACGCTTACCACATTTACGCATTACGATTACATACGATTACCTTTTCAGTCACATAGTAGTCCTAATCAACAAAGTACAAATATGATGTCCGAACCAGCCAAATGTAGACACAATCTTGTGTAATAACCCTGCTAATCAGCATAATACTGACCTGCACAGATTACATGAGCGTGTCCCAATGACTTATAGGCATTGCCCTGCCCTCCGGGGCTAGCGACCCGCGAACAGATACTGTCGACGCAATCACTGCCATGCATTGTCCTGCTGGGAGCCGCGGGCGGAGGGCCTACGACGTAATCACTGCACATAATTGGCCTGGACGCGTATGTGGGTGTGTATATATATATCTATATCTATATATATATATATATATATATATATATATATATATATATATAACAACCGTATTCCTAAAAATGTGAGCAGGACAGTACAGATGCACAACAAAGCAGCCTCGGAATCACTTCCGGTCAATCGTAGCCTCCTGGTCTAAAGCATCACCGCAAAGTTGTCCTTCATCCCCACTGAGCTCTGCCAGAGTGCCTGATCGACTTATGTAGAACGAGCTACCGCCGGAATCCCGCGGTTTGTGCAAACCTGGCCTCCTGGAGTCGCCGGAACAAATCGACCCACGGCACCGTCAGTGGCCCGATTCGCCACCGGTGCCGTGGGTCACGGAGCACTTGTCCCATGGGGTACTTGTGGGCATTACAGCAGACCCCTAGGGTCGCAGGACAGTCTGCCTCGGAAGAATCCATCAACGCTAAGTGCGCTTTTCTCGCGGAATGTAGCGCTGCCATCACCAACAGCCTAATAGCTTCCGATATCCACCTCATGAAAGTCCGAAAAGGACAGCTATGAGGTAAATCTCACGTTCTTTGAGTCGCAGGCTTATCAGTGGTACCCATGCATACGCTATTGCAACCCCCACCAGCAGCCAGCGACAAGTGACAAGTAAACAACGCGTCCCATTCTTTTGTGAATTATGTAAAGATCGACGTAAAGCCATTTTGTACGCTTATGTAAGAATCGAGACATTCCACCCACAGCTTTATCAATCGCCTATGTCCCGACTCAAGCTTTTGCCTTCGCCAGACACGAGGAGTCTAGCCAGGAGCGCGAGAACTATGTGGGTCAGGGGGCTGAGCCACTCAAGTTTAAATGCAGCATTGGCCCTCTGTGCGTTAACTGGGGAGAAATAACCACAAATGTCTGTACCCCATGTCACCCATCCCACCCCCAAGTCGGTAGAACTTCTGTTCCGATAAGTCTGGCCTACATGAAGTGCCCTTGACAAATTTAATCAGTCATGACAGAATTCTTGACCTGCTCCATGACAGTTTTCCCGATGCCCTATGGAGGACGAAACATAGCCATCTCAAACAAAAGCCTGATCACACCATGTCTTGCCCTCCAGAATGAGACCAAGAGGCCACTGAGAATGAGAATGAGACCATTCATTTGCCTTGGCAACTGCACTCAGATTGAAAGCAGACATCAGCAAGGTCAACAACACTTTATCAAAGCATGGCAGCAAGACATTGGCACTGTTTATCCCCATCTCTGAAGCTCATGAAACCCTTGTTGCCCAAGAATCCAGGACTGTCTCCTGTTGCACTGCTCCTCATCCTGAGCATTTGCATGTGTGACATATGCCATTTCTCCCATTCCCTTTACAACAAATCAGTGAGCTACCCTGGAATGGTTGATGATTTAGCAAGCTCATGCCAAACTTTGTTTACCCCTGATTCAGGGCAATGACACAACAGTATACACAAGTGTTAATGACTAAATGCTATATTAGGTAACAGGGACAGCCAACATGAGGTCAACATCTTTAATCACAAGGGTAAGACTTGAAGCTCAAAGTTTCAAATAAGAATGATCAAATATTGGGCCAAATATATTTAGATATAGAAAAACTGAGATACTTTAAATCAGCATCCCAATTTTTAAGTGATGCAATAGATAATAAAGCCAGACTTGCTCACACAAAATTTACACTCACTTATTCCACATGCCACAAATAGCTAACAATGCTATCTCTATGACAAAGAAGATACATCAAATGCATGGTCCTTTCACAATGGGTTTGAGCCACAGTGAGTAAGCCACATTGTTTTATAGTCACTGTTGCACTGCGGTTCTGTATAACCCTGGTACACACACACATGACCTCTGATACTAACAATGAGCAGTCAAAGCACAACATGTATGGTGTAGAGCTTGCAATACAAGGTATCTTGAATGTTTAAGAGAATGTGCTGCAATCTTGTGTTAAAGCACTGGTAACAAACACTGCTGATTGGACAGTTTTGAAAATTTCTATTTCACCTCAGATTTTCTATTACCCTAATGATTAATTACATTTGTCATTGACCAAACATCTCTCTGGCTACCAGTCAAAATAGTTTACATTTATGGATGTTGCCCATGGCATGCATCTACCTGAACACAGCCACATGTGTCAATGGGGCTTTATGACACATTAGGCTGCTGAGGCCATATGGCACCACCTGCCTCACCCTGGCAGGAAGGGTGGGCACTTTGAGCAATCAAACTCCCCACCTCTAGTTTCCCAGATGCACAGGGCACTACACTGTGGGAACTCTGACTAGTCAAATGATACCACACAAAGTATCGGATGATACATTTCAACAAAAAGAATGCACATTCCACTTTGCACAGCTGGTGAAACCAGAAATAGCATAAATGACTTCAATGAAAGCAGCTAAACGCAGGTGAGCATATGCCACCCATGATACACGAATGCAGCCACTAGCTTACCTTAAGAAACTCAACGCACCTGTCATACATTGTTTCTAAATCAACAGCAAAACATAGAAGAACATGAATTGTCCATAGAAACTGTCCATACCACCCGACAGCTGGCACCAGATTTATAACACTGCATCAGCGCACAAACAATAACACGCCCCACACAACAAGTTCATTGAAATGCCCGGCACCATCATACGCCAAAACTGATTTGTAAACAACGAAGCCCCGGCCCCATGTGTGGTACGTTCGAGGCAACAAATTAGTCAGTCATGTTTCTATTGTCACCAATTGTGGCACAAGAGCAAGGAGGACTCCCAAAAAACCAGTTGCTTCGAACAGATTGCACTCTTTGGGTCAGTTATGGCGCAGTTGTCTCAAGCATTTACGGCAGAGGACCGTAAAGAGAAATCGCAGCTCGATTTCTGTCCTGTGAGCAGTCCGACTCGTGGGGCCTGGGAAAGGGAAATTAGTTATCCCGCTTTGAATGGTGCCCACTCGAAATTCTTACATATTGCATTCAAGAGCTCGGAAACCCGTCGTAAGGAAGCCTTTCATCTGTGTGCGTCGATGGTGCAGTGGAAAGGCCGGAGTGAGAGAAGATCCATCTCAGATTGGGTACGCCCATATTGTCCTTGATTGTAAAGATCACCCTTTCTTGTCATTGTTCATGATGCACTTGAATGTGGTAGATGTCACATCAGAAAGACAGGATTCTGGATCCAAGCATGTACATAACATGAGTGCTATCATTGTGCCACATTCAAATCTTTACTATTTGTGTGGCTTTGATTGAAAGCTATGGCTGCCCACAAATTTTGTAGTACCTAACATTGTGACAGGGTGTGAACTAGGGTGATCCCCAGATTTTGGGGTTTCTGTCCGTAAAGGAGTAATTAATAATGTTTTCTATGTATTTCAGGTGTTGATAGCGACCAATGACAACTTTAAGGTAACAAGCATTTTTTGGTTTTACACAGGCACTTGGGCTGTTGGAGATCAAGAATGGGAATAACTTTTCAGGATGTTTCAGTCAAAGCATTTGGTTTCATTTATTATGCTTGTTATATCTTGCTTATTTTTTTGCTAGGCAAAAATGATTTATGGCTCTGAGATGAGCTGAATGTATTATGTGCATGCTTATGCCTTGTACTTTTGTGATCACAGTGGTGTGGCTATGAGCTTTGATACTGGCATCTATATTGCTCACTTATTTTATTAGTCTGATAAAATAGCTCTCATATGCCAGCCATCACATGATACACCAACAAGCTCCAATTTGCCTTTTGGCTATTGTTTGGCACCCATCTCCCCTGTGGACTTCGCCGGCGTCAGCCTGACCGGATGTCATGACGTCATTGGCAGCAACGTGGACGAGTATGGGTTCGAACGGCCGGCCGACTTTGACTTGGCCGAGTACGAGAGCTTTATCTCCGGCTACCTGGCCGTGCTCACACGGCGCAACATCAAGTGGCGACGCCTGCTTGGGCGACGGCAAGCGAGAACTGCGTCAGAATGCGCGCACTAAGCGCTACATCCGCAAGGGTGTGCCAGCCGAGTACCGCGCGCGGGTAAGTCGGCTTCCGCTCATAAAGGGGGCTTATGGGACTGGGTCAGGCTCGCGAACCCTGCTGATTGCAATTCCTCCTGGTTCGAGGCTGCACAGCCGCCATCTGCGCCGCTGTTTATGTCTATGAGGAGGGTAGGGGGTAATAGACTAATAATTAGCGCCCTGGACTCCCACGCGAGGGTCCGGGTTCGAGCCCTGTTTAAGCCATGACTGCTGAGCTCTGATATGCCTAGTGCAATTGCTGACGCTCCATGAAGGGTGTGTGATGACGTGTGCGGCGGTCCCCTTTCGCTGCGCTTCGCGAACGTGACGGCTCGCACCAGAAGACGGGGGTGGTGGGCTGATCTCGTAGTGGACGTCAGGTGGTTGACGTGGACTTGCCGTGATGCGGTCAGCGTAGTTGCCTAACCTGAACAGACCTGACTGGCACGGGTCCACTGTCGTTGTTGTGACCCGACCCGGGCCGGCAGGTGTGGACGGCGGTGACCGGCGCGGGCCAGCTGAAGGCGGAGGGGGCCGGCCGCTACCGCCAGCTGCTGCAGGGCCCGTTCCAGCCGGCCGTGCTGGAGGTGATCGCCGCCGACCTGCCGCGCACGTTCCCCGACAACATCCACTTCCGCGGCGAGGCGAGCGCCGCGCGCGTCTCGCTCGGCAACATCCTGCGCGCCTTCTCCAAGCACCGGCCCAACGTCGGCTACTGCCAGGTGCGCTGGCGGCGGCGGCGGCGGCCGGGGTCGGCATTGGCGGCGGAGGTGACGCGCGTCACGCGCGATGTCAAGTGCACGTCGCCCTCGGGCTGCTGTTGTCGGATCAGGGGGCCAGGGGCCCGGAAGGGTTAGGGAGGGGTGGGGTCTATAAACCGATAGCGTGTTCTCGACGTGGCTTGCTTTGAGGAGTGTATCAGTGTTGCTTTGCTTGAGGGAATTCTGCGGGAATCTTGCATTTCTCACCGCTGTAACAGTGAAGGGAAATTTCTGGTTGTGATCTGTTTTCCCTGATAGATTGTGATGCCCATGAGAAGCGCATCAGGTTTTTGGGGATTAGAAAGACAATGCCAGTATTTATTTCTTTCTTTTTTATCGGGAGAATATATTTCCCAGATCTAGTGGGTAATGACCCCAGCAGCCTGTGCAATTCTGGTAGAGTCTGGTCTTATTTGTCCTTCGGTGAATCCTGATTTGGCGAGACCAACATATGTACCGACCTAAAGACAATGTCATGTCAAAGGCGCTTTTAAGACACACTGAGCTTCCAAGGCTATATGGTGTCGCCCGCCTCTCGCGCTGGCAGAAGGGGCGGGCACCTCGGGGAATCGAACCCCGTACCTCTGACTTCTCAGACGCGCAGCTTAGCCACCACACCATTGGCACCCCTAAACTCAACATGCCGCTATTCAGAAGACCTCGCACTGCGAGGAGCAACGTTTCACAGCTTTTCAGCAATAATCAACAATTTCCCGCATAAATACCATGAGGAGTTGCTACTTAGACCACGAAAACATTGGTATGGAATGAGAGTGTTATGCGAGGTAGGGTAACGTCAACATCAGAAGTGTACGGACGGGCCATTTGTGAAGTGCCGTAAACGATGTCCATTTTTTCCGGTCAAGACAAAGTTGGGAAGATATTTTACACAACTTTGGGACGAAAAGGCGATGCCAGGGCAACACATTCCAAAACGTCAACGATCAAAAACTAGAGAGGACCTCGCTGTGAGTCTGTCAGAGCACCATCTGCCCCCCCCCCCCCTCCCTTCGGCATGTCTCGTAGGTTTCCTTGGCTCTGTGGCTTGTTTTTCATCCACTGTAAAGTGAGCGGGCTGCCTCGGTGACCGTGTCATGCCGCTGTCGCCTGGATGACGCCATGGGCGGCCACAGTTATTGACTCGCTCCTGAAGTGGCGAACCGCGGCACTTCTTTCACTCGCAGCGGGTGAACAAAGCGCCGTAAAACACCATCGCATGCATTTCACAGCCGCGGCACAAACGGCGCCGCTTTGATACCGTACACTGCATGCTGAGACTCTATTGGGGCCGGAGCTTGCTGCTGACGTCAAAGTAGTTGGCCGCCCTTGTTGCACGGCCGTGTGACCCGTCAGGTGCCGCCCCGCCAATTTAGCGCCGGCCGGGGCGCGCACGCGGCCGGGGGCAGCGGACAATGGTGTCTGAGCCGGGCCCTGGCTACGGCTGAGGACCGAGCCGGGTCCACAGTCGGGTGTGTCTCACGCGGCGGCTCGCCTGTGACCGGAGAATGGCCGACTGCGGCGCAGGGATTTGACCCGCGTGGTCCATGACATGACTGGAATGCGGTTCGGTGGGGGCGGCGCCACTGCCCTTGCATGGATCGTCTTATGGGTGTCCGTGTCGCGGGACGCTATCCTGCTCAGCGTGGCAAGGTGCAGGTGTGTGCAAGCTGCTGTATTGATTTGTTTTATTCCGCTGGCTCTCGTGACCTGCAATGTGTCTTTCGTTTTGGTCGGTCGTTTTTCTCTGGCAGGCAGTTGTTGCATTCATGTGTGTTCTGAACACCAGAAACCCATACTTATAACACAAACTGTATTAAAACGCTCAAAATCTTTGCTGAGGAGTATCATGTGTACGTCAACCGGAACGTCGGTAAGGCGCGTGAATACCCTCCCTGCTAAAGACAGGGTGTGCGGAGGGTGCTTGGCTGGTCGCAGGCGGGCCGGCCCAGTGTGCCCCACCGCACAGTGTTGCCGCGCGCTGGCGCTGCCGGCGCGGGCCGGGCGGCGGCCGCTCCTCACGCCGCCGCCGTGGTCGCGCTCGACCCTCCCGGCTCCTCTGAGCCACAGGTGCGGCGCGGCGGCAGGTGCGCCGGCGGAACAGCTGCACCGACGCCGGACCGCGGCGCCTCTCATATGAACAGTCCGACAAAGGCGGGGGGATTCACACGGAAAGCGTGACAATGCGGAGGACGTTGGAGGGGAGAATATTGTGCGCGTCGCCTGTCGTGTGCTGATGGATGTAATGTGGCGTGGCCCTGACGGGGCCGGTTCACAGAGACTGGACCGTCGGCAGTACACACGTCCCAGCGCTGCCAACTGAGTCTTTCCCGGGCGGTTGTAACTGAACAGAAGAATTCGTAACGTAGTCAGGGCTTCAGCTGCGTCACGGGCCCGCTGCAACGTGACGTGACATGACCTGACCTGACCTAAGTCGAACCACCGTCAGGGTGTCAACTACAACGCCGGCCCGCTGCTGCTGCTGGCTGTGGCCTGACCTGACCTGACCTGACCTAAGTCCACCCACCGTCAGGGCGTCAACTACATCGCCGGCCCGCTGCTGCTGCTGGCTGTGGCCTGACCTGACCTGACCTGACCTAAGTCCACCCACCGTCAGGGCGTCAACTACATCGCCGGCCTGCTGCTGCTGGTGGCTGTGGCCTGACCTGACCTGACCTAAGTCCACCCACCGTCAGGGCGTCAACTACATCGCCGGCCCGCTGCTGCTGCTGGCCGTGGTCTGACCTGACCTGACCTGACCTAAGTCCACCCACCGTCAGGGCGTCAACTACATCGCCGGCCTGCTGCTGCTGGTGACAGACCGTGAGGAGGACGCCTTCTGGTTGCTGGCGGCGCTCGTCGACCGCCAGCTGCCCGACTACTACGTGCGCAGCATGCGAGGCGTCCGGCTCGACATTGAGGTGTTCTCGCAGCTGGTCAGGTCAGACCCGGGCTAGGGGCGAGGAGTTCGAGACAGGGGAGGGTGTACGGCTCGACATTGAGGTGTTCTCACAGCTGGTCAGGTCAGACCCGGGTTAGGGGCGAGGAGCTCGAGACAGGGGAGGGTGTCCGGCTCGACACCGAGGTGCTCTCACAGCTGGTCAGGTCAGACCCGGGTTAAAGACGAGGAGTTCGGGACAGGGAAGGGTGTACGGCTCGACATCGAGGTGTTCTCACAACTGGTCAGGTCAGACCCGGGTTAGGGGCGAGGAGCTCGAGACAGGGGAGGGTGTCCGGCTCGACACCGAGGTGTTCTCACAGCTGGTCAGGTCAGACCCGGGTTAAAGACGAGGAGCTCGAGACAGGGGAGGGTGTACGGCTCGACATTGAGGTGTTTTCACAGCTGGTCAGGTCAGACCCGGGTTAGGGGCGAGGAGCTCGAGACAGGGGACGGTGTACAGCTCGACATCGAGGTGTTCTCACAACTGGTCGGGTCAGACCCGGGTTAGGGGCGAGGAGCTCGAGACAGGGGAGGGTGTCCGGCTCGACACCGAGGTGTTCTCACAGCTGGTCAGGTCAGACCCGGGTTAAAGACGAGGAGCTCGAGACAGGGGAGGGTGTACGGCTCGACATTGAGGTGTTTTCACAGCTGGTCAGGTCAGACCCGGGTTAGGGGCGAGGAGCTCGAGACAGGGGAGGGTGTCCTGTTCGACATTGAGGTGTTCTCACAGCTGGTCAGGTCAGACCCGGGTTAGGGGCGAGGAGCTCGAGACAGGGGAGGGTGTCCGGCTCGACACCGAGGTGTTCTCACAGCTGGTCAGGTCAGACCCGGGTTAAAGACGAGGAGCTCGAGACAGGGGAGGGTGTACGGCTCGACATTGAGGTGTTTTCACAGCTGGTCAGGTCAGACCCGGGTTAGGGGCGAGGAGCTCGAGACAGGGGACGGTGTACAGCTCGACATCGAGGTGTTCTCACAACTGGTCGGGTCAGACCCGGGTTAGGGGCGAGGAGCTCGAGACAGGGGAGGGTGTACAGCTCGACATTGAGGTGTTCTCACAGCTGGTCAGGACAGACCAGGGCTAGGGGCGGGGAGTTCGAGACAGGGGAGGGTGTCCTGCTCGACACCGAAGTGTTCTCACAGCTGGTCAGGTCAGACCCAGGTTAAAGACGAGGAGCTCGAGACAGGGGAGGGTGTACGGCTCGACATCGAGGTGTTCTCGCAACTGGTCACTCAGACCCGGGGAGGAGGCGGCGAGGTCACGACATAGGGGGGGGGGGGGGGTGGTGTCCGGCCCACAACACGAGGTGTTGGCGCAGTTCGTTTGATCGATGCCAGCAAATGGTCGCGGTGAATGTGCCCAGCTGGCTGCGGTCGATACTCTGTAGCCTTTAGTCAAGCTCCGGTTGTGCTCAGCAGAATACTGCGAAGGTCGGCCGCCGCCTCTGTAAGCGAGCCGGGGTGGCGGCGCCGCCGTGGCTGTGGCTCACCAGCGCAGCCCCGCCGCGGAGCCCGGGTGGCGCGCCCCATGGCTGTGGCTCGCCAGCGCAGCCGCGGCCCGCGACCCGGGTGGCGCCCCCGCCGTGGCTGTGGCTCGCCAGCGCAGCCCCTGCCCGCGAGCCCGGGGTGGCGCCCCCGCCGTGGCTGTGGCTCACCAGCGTAGCCCCGGCCCGCGAGCCCGGGGTGGCGGCGCCGCCGTGGCTGTGGCTCACCAGCGCAGCCCCGGCCCGCGAGCCCGGGGTGGCGGCGCCGCCATGGCTGTGGCTCGCCAGCGCAGCCGCGGCCCGCGAGCCCGGGGTGGCGCCCCCGCCGTGGCTGTGGCTCACCAGCGTAGCCCCGGCCCGCGAGCCCGGGGTGGCGGCGCCGCCGTGTCTGTGGCTCACCAGCGCAGCCCCGGCCCGCGAGCCCGGGGTGGCGGCGCCGCCATGGCTGTGGCTCACCAGCGCAGCCCCGGCCCGCGAGCCCGGGGTGGGCGCCCCCGCCGGGGCTGTGGCTCACCAGCGCAGCCCCGGCCCGCGAGCCTGGGGTAGCACCCCCGCCGTGGCTGTGGCTCACCAGCGCAGCCCCTGCCTGCGAGCCCGGGGTGGCGGCGGCGCCGTGGCTGTGACTCACCAGCGCAGCCCCGGCCCGCAAGCCCGGGGTGGCGGCGCCGTCGTGGCTGTGGCTCACCAGCGCAGCCCCGGCCCGCGAGCCCGGGGTGGCGGCGCCGCCGTGGCTGTGGCTCACCAGCGCAGCCGCGGCCCGCGAGCCCGGGGTGGCGCCCCTGCCGTGGCTGTGGCTCACCAGCACAGCCGCGGCCCTCAGCCAGGCGTCCGCACACGGCCCAGCCGCGCATTGCTGCAGGCGGCTGTTCCATGAAACGTGGTGGTCGTGGGAGGGATCGATCTATTAACCAGCGGACTCTGGACTTATTGGCAACAGCTGACTGTCTAACGTAGAGGTTTGTCTACGCGTGAAGCGCTGCATTAAAAGCTCATCAGAAATCCTTCTTTGCAGTGAAAATGGTACTGTTGCGCGTCTTGTCATGGTTAAAGCATGAGGGCCTTGCTGCACGGTTGAAAGTGCTTAAGATCATTCACATTTTCAATTGCACACCGGGAGTCCGAAAACAGTGCGGGGTTATACTCTGCTGGGTTGGTTTGGCCCGACTTTCCTTCGCCTTTGTTTGCCAAGTATCGTGTACCCTGAGTGGCAGCGACATTGCTGATGGAGTAACGCCCTCCGTTTGCCAAGATTTCGTTACATTTACCGAACAAACTTGTTTCGTGCAAACTAAAACGCGCGTGTCGTGTCCAAATTCCTCGACGAGGGTGGCGTTATTCGTGACGAGCGCCGCTTTGTGGCCCCGCTGCCCACTGCCAGTCTTGGTGCGATGTTGAATGTCTGTGGGTCACTTAAGTCACATGTTATAAACGACCAAGCAGTCGTCTCATTTCCTTTTCTTTTCATTTGAAATTTATTTCCGATATTTGTTATGTTTTGGTGCCGCCGACATGTGTTGTCTGACCTCTGTCGTGCAGTTATCGGCCTTCGACTCCATTCCTGCCTTCAAAGGATTAATTGCGTGACTAGAAGTGCGCCGTCCTCGCTGCTGGCGGTGCTCTTTGTCGGGCTGCACGCTAAGTTTGCATTATTCGCACAGTCAGCAGAAACGACGTACACTCTGCATTTGATTTATGGTACAAACTGACTTGAAATATATTCGGCGGAGCTGAGTAGCGACAGTCGTTTGGCGTGCTTGCGACAAGCTTAATTACAGTGTCTGGCCGACGGTGCTTGGCGGGCTCACACTGGCGTGTAACTCGGTCCGTCGGTCCACAGAGTGAAGCTGCCTAACATATACGAGCACATGCAAATGCTGGGCATCGCGTGGTCGATGATCGCCACCAAGTGGTTCGTCTGCCTGTTCGCCGAGGTGCTGCCCGTGGAGGTGAGCTCACGGCGAGCGGCGCCTGTCGGCTGCCGTGGCGCCGGACGGAGGCGCAGCGCGGAGGCCGCTCATGTTGCTCGGCGGGCGGCTGTGGTCAGCGCTGAATCCCCGCCGAGGGTGCGCGCCGCCTGCTGCTGGTCGGCTCGCGCTCCGGCTTCGCCGGCGGTGCCGAGCTCGCGCGCACCCCGCCATCGCCTGGGGGTTCGCTGAGAGCGGGCATGCGATCAATACGAGGCGCTCTTGGCGATGTTATCGGTATTGATCGAGTCATGAGGTGCGTTTAGTGTCGTGTCGACTGCACAGGAATGCACTCGCCAGCCATGTTATCACTGTGCGTGTGTCGCGGTTCTCTTTCGGCCTGGCCGGACCCGCGCGGCGCCGATCACCGCGGCCGCCTCCGTGCCCGCCGCAGACGCTGTTCCGCGTCTGGGACTGCCTCTTCTACGAGGGCACCAAGGTGCTGTTCCGCGTGGGCCTGACGCTGCTGAAGCTGCACGAGACGCGCCTGCTGGCCTGCCGCGACTTCATGGAGACGATGACGGCGCTTCGCGACCTGCCGCGCAGTCCGGCCGTGCTCCAGTGCCACTCGTTCATGGAGGTGAGGCACCCTGCTGCGCGATCCGGCCGTTCTCCAGTGCCACTCGTTCATGGAGGTGAGGCACCCTGCTGCGCGGTCCGGCCGTTCTCCAGTGCCACTCGTTCGTGGAGGTGAGGCACCCTGCTGCGCGGTCCAGCCGTGCTCCAGTGTCACTCGTTCGTGGAAGTGAGGCACCCTGCCGCGCGGTCCGGCCGTGCTCCAGTGCCACTCGTTCATGGAGGTGAGGACACCCTGCCGCGCGGTCCGGCCGTGCTCCAGTGCCACTCGTTCATGGGGGTGAGGCACGGCAGGCGGGTGCGCGTAGCGAGGCACCTCCCTTTAGTGCTTGGTGTGATACGGCGGTGGTGATCGCTGGTCGTAGGCAAGCAATCTGAGAAGTTAAACACGCTGATGTGAGATGTGTTACCCGTGATGTATGAATGTTCGGCCACCCGATGTTCTCTGTAGGGGGTGACGAAGGAGGGCGGTATATCCCCCTGAGCACACTGGTGAAAAAGCCTTGATTCATCTGCGGGCTGCCCCCATCTGTTTTTTGTGGCATATTTTTCAAAGCGGTATTATCATTCTTCGTCTTTTCATTTCTTCACTGTTTCATTTGCGCCCGAGTTTGGCGAATATTCGGTCGCAGGCCCGGTGCAGGCACCGTTGTTTGTCTGAAGCATGGCTTAGTTATGCTCCACATCGTGATATGTGACCCTGCCCGGACGGGTACTCTGTGTAACGCGATAGGAACCCAGGAATGCCATAAAGGTCGATCTGGGTTGAGATAAGCCAGCATTTGAACTGCGTTGTTTCTTGCATTGTCATGAGGTGATTTTAATATCTTATGACACGCGATGTGACAGGGCCCTTCCTCGTCCTTCCCCGCGTGCCCGGACCGTGTTACTGACCGGGGTCCCGTCTGGCAGAGCGTGTTCCGTCTACCAGACCCGTTCTCCAGCTCGCTGGTACAGCAGACGCGGGCGAAGTGCACCGCCGACCTGGAGCGGCAGGACGCCAAGATCAAGTGACGTCACCGCCCGGCGGACAGCCCGCCGCCGGCCGCCGGGCCGTCCTGAAGCCGCCGGGCGGCCGACGCCGGCGGGCCCGAGGAGGCGGCTGCGCGACCGGACCGACGCCGGGGCGGCGGGGTGGAGGTGGACGGGAGCGGGGCAGGTCGGCGGCCCCGGCGGCGCCATCTCGCCGACTGCCGGATCCCCGCGGCGGCTTCTCTCGTATAGGGAGCTATGTTGGTATGGTATCGGCTGGCGCCTGACGGACGCCTCGCGCGTGGCTTGCCTTGGACCGACGCGCTGTTATGGCGGGCACATGGTTGTTACACATTGGTTGTTACACATGTTTCCACGTCATCGGCGCGCTGGGCCCGCGCCGACATTGTCCGCCTGCCGCGGCGGTCGTTGGGAAGTGTTGCGTTTTGTGTCTGACAGCGGGTCTGACAGCGTTCGTTGTCTCTCTCCGGGCGGATTTGTTGATTGATTCCACGCGTTGAGGCAACATGTCAGCACGGTCCTGTTTTGTGCGGATCTTACGGCCGCATTCGATCGTGCGCAAGGGAAACATCGGCGGGGTAGCAGCAAAGCCTTTGAGGGGAGGCCCCGGCTTGGGTCCGCGCGAGCTGAAGTTTGCGTTGTTTTGATCGTTGTCCGTGCGGGGAGCAACGTAAGGGCTGTAAGAAGCCGCCTGAGATAGGGAATGCGGTTGCAGACAAGTGGTCGCCATGTCTACTGGCGGCGAGTGCTATGCAGGACATTCCTGGCGGCACTCCTGGAGGCCAGCCAATGAGTCGTCAATCTCGGCCTACAGCGGGAGGGGACGTTAGGGAAAGCGATCGGGATTCGGTGCTGAGATTCAAGTGATCGCTTGGCCAACTTGTAATACGTGCTATTGCTCGTGCTATATATCCTCCATATCACCAAAGTAGCATGCAAACAACACGCCTTGCGGGATAAATGTTATATTCGTTGGCTCATGGGGATAAAATGGGAGCGGAAATTATTTTGTCGCACAGATTCGGAGGAAGGTGAGCTTACGTGAGCCGATCTCGCGCAGCGGAATGGGCTTCACTTCAGCCTGTATCCGGTCGAGTTTTGTAGTCCCTGTCCCGCTCAGGGAGCGGGACAGCGACTACACTAATGACACTACTTTCTGAACTATTTGTAGCTTTATATTCATCGTCATTTTGTTGGCAGTGCCGTTCCACGGCGTTTTTGTCTTTGCTGCATATGTGCGGTATGTGTTATTATTGTTGAAGTTTTTTTGTACTCGTCGCGTTGTATCTTTCATGCAATGTAGTACTTGCGCCCTTGCATATTTCTGATATCGTTTTGCATTAACTGCATGTATTTAGACATTTCTGTACACCATTTGGGCCTATGTATGAGTTATACGTCACCTGTCCTAACCTCCCAGCGCATAGCTGCTTTGTTACATCAGCTGTGTAATACGTCGGCCTTTGTTATGCATGATTTTTTCTCGTATTCTGAGTGCTATTATACGTCGTGCCCGTCAACAACTATGAACTAAACGTTGCCAACTTACATCGGTTCTCAGACCCCCGTGTTTCGTACTTAATTGCGATGTGAATCGACTCGTCCGTGTGATACGGCCAGCTCAGCGGCGCACAGTAATCGACTTCGTCATGGTGCAATCACTCCCAGACAGCCAATGTACTTGCCCATCGAAGCAGCTTTACCGAGCGGTCGATCTCTGCCGTTGGGTCTGCTCGCGCTGCGGGCGTCGCGGCGGTCGGCCGCGCGCCGCTCCGGCCGCGCGTGGGGCGGATCCTCCGGCGGCGGCGGCGGCGGTGCGGCCGGACCGTCCAGCCACCGCGGCGGCTCGCGGCGGCGCCGCAGTGCGCTCTGTGATAATCCGAATCTCGATCCCCGCCACAGTCACCTCGGCGCGCCCCAGCCGCTGTTTGCCTACTCGCACAATCGTGTTGCATGGTGTAGTATGGTGTGCTCCGACGCTGCTCCATCACAGGGAAGTGTCCCGGGCGCGAGCTTTTCATTGCCGTAAATCCGTAAATCGCCCGGCACCATGCCGTGGTCGGCCGGCTCGGGCGCCGTTCCGGGCGCCATGACGGCCCGTTCCGCGGAGTAACGCGGCCGGGACGAGGGCGTGGAGGCGCGCCACCCCGGTGCCGGGACCTGCGGGGTCACTGGCTCCAGCGACCGTCCCGTGCCTCGCCCGTGCGCTGGTATGGCCTCCGCGCCGCGGCGGCTCACAATGGCGGGTCTGCCGCGCCACAGGGCGCCCGCCGCGGACTCCCGCCCCGGGTCTGCCGCGGTGGGGTCCCACTGCGCGAGGCAGCCCGCTAGGCGAACGGACGGGCCCGGAGGCGGGTTGCGTCGGTCGGGAAGTGTTCCTCACCACTCCATGGCTGTTGGTTATCTTCCGAAGAGACGGTGCCCTGTGTGGCGCCAGCGCGTGGTCGTCGGTGATTATTGAGAGATGATGCAGGCGATACGTCGTGCCGATACGCTACCCTGGTGTGATCAGTACTTTGCGTGTTGGTCTTGTGTTTGGTCAAGGTAGCACTTGTCTGTCGCGTGGATTGCACCTATTATTTGCATCGCGAATTGCATATGTTACAATACACGGCGATGCTGACTCGCCGCTTGTGTATTACTCATGATGAATGAACCGTCACGACGTCCCGGGGCAGGCAGACGGCGACTGCTGTGTGTGAGTGCCCGCTGATGCCGAAAACCCGTCCTAACCCCCCCCCCCCCCTCCCCCCCCCAACACGATCATTGGGCCCCCACTGAAGACCACGCGCGTACGTCGGCTAGCGAGGTTTGCGTGCCGTTCTGGGAAAGGCCGTGAACGTGCTGCGGTGGGGCAGAAGCACCCGTGCATCTCATCTTGCCATCCCTTGTGGGCTCGTTTCGAGCCTCCCTTCAGAGGTCTACCTCACAGAAATTCTATCGCACCCGCCCTTCATAATGGGACATCCGGGGACCGCTCGCACATGCCCGGCTGCGCAAGCGGCATTTGTGGTTCGCCAGCTGTGCAATAGGCCAGGTCTGGCGTTCGAGGCAGATGGGGAGGGGGGTGGGGGGGGGGGGGGGGTGAAGGCGCCGTCGAGTGGAGGGCCGAGGCAGCCGTCCGGCCCGCGTCGCTGCTGTGCACCGATCGAGCCGAAGCCGCTGACGATGCGACGAGAGACGCGTGACTCTCATGCTGGCCGCTGCAGTCAGCTGGTGTAAGTTGGAGCCCTTTAAGGCCGGTAAAATCTCCGCGGAACGGGCGTTGTCTTCAACGGCGTCACCACATTAGTGCTACGGCAAAAACTCTTAGCGACAGGAGTACCGCGACAGCAGTCATAGCGACATTACGTCTTCTGCAAAAACTTATGCAGGCTTCACCTATACGCGCCAGTGCTTCGATAAGACAGTGGTATTAGCCCCATTCCTCGGATAAAACCAGGAGAATGGAGATAAAGTTGGGGTAAATCCCAACCTAACTTAACCCAACCCAACTATATCACCGTTTTCCTGGTTTTATCCGAGAAATGAGGCTAATACCACTGTCCTATCTATGTCAATAATGTTCCCCGCTAATGCACTGAACAACTTGCGCCGGTACTTCAATTGCAGTGACCTTTGGACGACAAAACGGACACTGCAAAACATGTACCAGCTATTACTTCTACTGCAAAGATTTGACCACAAATATTTGCTGCAGCACCGATGCCACGCATCAGTCTTTGCAGTAGAAGTAGTAACGCGTTTGAACAATGGCTGCATAAGCTTTTGCAGTAGAGGCGATGGCGGGCACGTTCTTTTTTAACGCATAACCTTTCGCGTAGCACTAATGTCGCGTATAAGTCTGCAGTAGGGGTGAAGTCGTGTATAGATAAAGAGCGCATATGTTTTTGCAGCAGAAGTGAAGTGTATAAGTAATGGCTACATGGTTCTGCCGTGGAAGTGATCAGTCAACATTTTTTAAGTGTAAGTTTTGTGGTACAGCACTCATATCGTGTATATGTTTTTGTGTTAGTATAAATGTGTATAAGTAATGGCTATAAGTGTTTGCAGTAGAAGCGATGACGAGTGTAAGCTTGTACAGCATAAGTTTTGTCACGTTGCACTAGTATGTCGTGTTTAAGTACTGGCAGCAGTAGTAACGTCGCAACACTCCTGTCGGTAAAGGTTTGTCGTAGAGTTTTGAGTTTTGCGTTTTGTCAGGACTTTGGTCGCAGCTGTAATGTCTTAGAGCCGTGCTCACCGTCGGGGAGGAGGCGCCTCGCGGGCCCCCATACCGCTTTCTCCAGAACTTCTTAACGTGCTTTGGCGAAGCGAGCATCGGCGTGGAATAGCCGGAGTAGAACTGCATCAACTTTGAGCCAATTCGCGGATAACGGCTTCAGCGTGGGTGACCTTTGGTGGATCAAGAGAGACGTCGATATGAAGTCAGTGAATATGCGCGTATCTATTGATACTCTTAACTTTGTGCCCTATCTGCGTTGGGGGTGGGGGGGGGGGGGGGGGGGTGCGACACTGTGCGGCCCCTGGCACGTCGAACCACACATACAAAGCCCTTGCACATGACATGTGGCACGATGAATCCGGCACTACGGGTCAAACCTGGCGTGCATAGACCCCACCTCCGCGTCGTAAAACCAGACATGTTCCGCCAACGAAATGAACGGCACAGGTCAGTGCTTGTCAAACTTCATTAAATGCCGGTGAAAATTGGCCAAGATACTGATCTGAAACGAGCTTGTGAAAGATCCGAGGTCAATTCGCGATTTTTTTTTGTTTGGTGTGACCGGCCTAGAATTTCATGACCTCATTCCCTTTTAGCATCGTGTTATTGCGCGGCGTATCTATTAATACAGCAAATCAATCTAGGAAAATTATCTAGTCATGGTATCTGCGCGCATTTTACCACCAAGGACATATGCAATGCTTCGTAATCTGGAAGGAGAGCACAACATGAGAATGTGTTGCTGCAATTTGTTAATAAGGAGGCTTTGCAATATGTGTAATCGTGATATAAAATTACTATTTTCAGA